TGACAGAATCATTGAATGGAAGCCTATCAACGGCAGGGTGGCAATCCTCTGACCGAAGCTACAACAGACCGAAGCGTTTACAGGTCTGTGCCCAATTTAGAGGGAGAATACGATTTCTTTCTTGAGGAAGTGGGGTGTGCTTAGTACGAAATGCGAAATACGGATTCCCACAGACTCATCGGCGACTTTAATGCGCATGTCAGAGTATACGCTGAAAAGTGGAACGGTGTGATTGAAAAAAACGGCAATAGCGACCTCAACAATACGGCATGAACTTGTTGCGGTTTTATGCAAACAACAAACTGTTTACTGTGAACTTCTTCTTCGAGTATCGAAGGAAAGCCTATGCACAGAAGTTGTTGATCGATTTAACAATCATATCGACTTGCAACTTACGACGCTCTGAAATGGACGTTCAAGTTAAGAAAGGCACAGAGCTGTCAACCGATCACGATCTTGCTCTCGGCATGCTACGCTGTAAGAAATGGAGTACCATACGAAGATCTGGTGGCAGAAGCAAGCGGAGAATCAAATGGGAAACACTGTCTTCGATGGACATGAGAGCGAAATTTGCAAACATCGCATCGCACGGCGGTTTGAACAGATCCCAGCGATGACAACTGATGTTGTGCTGCGGATTAAACGGGTTGGCCTGCCGCGCGGACGTCAGAAAAGATCTTCTTAGTAAACACGAGAGAAAGAAGTGGTAAACAAATAGAAGCCAGCGTTCAAGAAATGGCCAGGAAGTATAACCAGCTTTCTACTTGCATACAGTAAGTCGAAGTACGCAAAGCGACAGCGAAAGCAGTGGCAGAAGTCAAAGCTGAATTAGAGGGAGAAGTTCAATGAGCTGCTAGAGTTCAATTTCTAGACGGCAAACAAGGTATCATGGCAGACCCTCCGCCGGCTCCGAGGTGAGAAGAACGGCAGTCTAAGAGTCTTAAAGGACAGGCACGGATAACATCTTACCCAAGATGAGGACATTCTTCAGCGATTGAGAGAGTACTCTGAGGAACTCCTAACCGGAGGAAGATTCTTTAGTAGATCTTCAGGGAACAGATATTTCTATTTCTGTAGACGAAATCACGCAAACTGTAAAAAGCCTGAAACGTGAAAAGGCTGAGGCTGCTGAAATTGAAGTCCACCGTGAAATGCACAAAGCATTAAGCGAACAAGGCATGTGCTGATTTACACATGTTGCCAAATTGCAATGGCTACGGGGAAGACACCAGCGGAATGAAGAACGGGAGCTGCTGTAACCCTATTCTAGATGGAAATGCTCCAGTCATCGGGCATTAGCTTATGAAGCTCCCGGGGTAAAGACTACGCAAAGGTGCTGGAAAGGGGATTCTGCGGAATAACTAACCCGAAGATACAAAAAGAGCAGTGCAGCTTTCGATCCGGTGGAAGCATCACTCACCACATATTTGTCCAACGCTACATTGCTGAAAAATCATGGGAGTTCGCCCATCCAATGTACATGTGCCTTGTTGACTTAGAAAGAGCCTATGAACGGATCCCGCGCAACAATCTATGGACATGCCTGCGAACACACGGGATCGATGGCCAATTGCCACGGGCCATCCAATCACTGTATTCCGATAGCAGGTGCAGCGTCAGAGTAAATAACATTAAGTCAAAGTCTTTCAGCGTTGGAACTGGTCTCTCCCAAGGCTGCGTCCTGTCCTCTATACTGTTTGTGTTGTACATGC